CCCTGCCATTGGCAGGGGCTGCTTTGCAGCAGCAATCCCTGCCCCCTCCCCCCCAGCAGCCTCTGTCTGTGGGGAAGCTCGGACCCCTCCCCACAGACAAGTGCTGCTGCCACCTCTCTGTCAGAGGCAGAAGCATGGAGTGACAGGCAGCCGATCCATGAAGAGAGCTGGTTTTTAAACTGGCTTCCCTTGCAGACTGGCTCTGCCATTGGCAGGGGCTGCTTTGCAGCAGCAATCCCTGCCCCCTCCCCCCCAGCAGCCTCTGTCTGTGGGGAAGCTCGGACCCCTCCCCACAGACAAGTGCTGCTGCCACCTCTCTGTCAGAGGCAGAAGCATGGAGTGACAGGCAGCCGATCCATGAAGAGAGCTGGTTTTTAAACTGGCTTCCCTTGCAGACTGGCTCCCGCCAGGCACCCTGCGCTGCTTCCTCTAAAAAAAGAGGCAGCATTGCAGGGTGGAAATGGGGGCTCCCCAGGAGTGGGGCCGGATTGCACTGGCTGCCGGACCCACTCCCAGGAACTACAGAATAGTTGACTAACCACTAAGAATTCTTGAGATTAGTCGACTATTCTATTATCAGCTATATAACATCTCTCTCACACACACCCCTCTCCTCCCCCTTAACTCCAGGGAACAGTGATTCTGAAAGTTATGGAAGAAAAACCTCTTGCTTCTCAACACTACATAGCTTTCTAGAATATATTCCACCCAATTAAAAGAAAAATCTCTAGAATAATCCTTGGACAATTGATTTAATATTTAAATTAAATATTACATTTTCCAAAAAGACCCAAAACTAGAAGTTTAGACTTTGAAACACAGCCCATATGGAAATAAAATAAGTGTTCTGTCCACTGAACAAATTTCTTAAGAAATGAAAACATATGAATATTGAGACAATTGCTTTCCTTTCTATATATTTATGAAGTTTTCTGATGTCTAAAAAAGTTACATTATAGCTCTGTTTGATTATACGTGTAATACAGTAATTCCTCATTTAACACTACAGATATGTTTCAGAAAATGATCGTGTTAAGTGAAAACATGTTATGCGGGGTAAATTTTCCCATTGAAAATAATGGAAAAGGTGGGGGTTGTGTTTCAAGCAGTGGAGTCTGTTGGGACCGGGACACAAGTTTGGGGGAGAAAGGGAACTGGGTTACAGCAGGGAGGGGAGATGTTTGACTCTGGGGAAAGAAGGGGACTAGAGGGAAGGGGGATTGGGTTGGGAGTATGCCCCTGTTACGGGTCTGCCAGGACCCGCACTGCGTTCGTCAGGGGTCGCCGGGGAACAGCGCGGCAAGCAGCAAACCCTCCACCGCTTTGCAGGGAGGCGGGGGAAACTGTGTTATTCCAGGGATGGTCGTGTAATTCAAAAAACGTTCCCTGAAAAAAAAAATCGTGCTATCACGAACACATGTTAAGCGGGCATGTGTTAAATGAGGAATTACTGTATTTTAAAGGTTGACAAACAAAAGATCCTAAAAATTAAAAAAAATAAAACCACTAGTGTCCATTTGCAATATTGATGACCAACAGGATGAATGCAAAGTTTAGACTTGCTGCTATGACATTCCTAAAAAAGCTCAAGCACCTATCCTCTGGAAATCAATCTTCTTAAGATTCTCTCAATTTGGTACCTGAAACTTTTGTAAGACATGGTCCTAGACTATAAATCTTACAGTCACGATGGGAATGATGCATAATCTGGTGCAATGATACCACCTTATAGTAATTTTATATATATGATTTATCTATTCTATATTTTATTGCTTTTCTTAAACTGCTGTACATGCTTTTAACTCTTGATGGGTATGCTCATTTTGTAAATCAAAAGAATAAATAGCTAAAAATCTAATTTAATAGTCTATCATTTTTAAGTGATTAAGTTACATTTACTGGAATCATTCATTCCTGTAATATAGGATGTCGAAATTGATTTTATCTCACTTAAATGTGTTACACTTTGCAGAAGAGAAGTTTTTGAAATATTAACAAATCGTTAACTAAATATACAAACATACATTGACCATTGTCTCCAGAAGGCAAAACAATGAAAATAAATTTTTTCTCAGGGCCTGGCATGATCAACTTTTCATTCCAATCACAGACTTTGTGTACCGAATCAAATACTGGGAATTTTCGCTGAGAGATTCTTAAGCACAGAAGAAAAAAGAAAGAAAAATAGTTTAATACAACTGTGCACCTCAATCTTTTGCATCATAGTTAAGTTTACTTATACAATTTTATGGATACCTCCTTTAACTTCTTTAAAATATAGACAAGTGGTAATCAATTAGTTTTGTCAAGGTCCAAAATTCAAGGTATAGTCAAGGTCTAGACTCCAAAGAAAATAATGATAATAAGTAGGGATGTTAAGCAATTAAAAAAAATGAATAGTGATTAGTCGTGATTAGTTGCATTGTTAAACTACCATTTAAATGTTTTTGCTGTTTTCTATATTTACAAATATATTAATTTCAATTAGAACAGAGAATAAAATTGCACAATGCTCACTTCATATTTATTTTTATTATCAATACTTGTGAATTGAAAAATACTGTTTTGTTTTTTACATCATACAAGTACCAGAGGGGTAGCCATGTTAGCCTGAAACTTTAAAAACAACTTTAAAAAACAGCACATAGTCCTGTGAATCTTAGGGTACATTTACACTGCAATACTATTTTGAAATAACTAGCGCTATTCCAAAATAACTTAGTCCGCATCTACACAGTAGGCAGTTATTTCAAAATATTTAAAACTATCAAGCTGGAGGACTTCTTACTCCAACTCCTGTAACCCTCACTGTATGAGGAATAAGAGAAGTCAGAGGAAGAGCGCTCTATTTCGAAACAAGTGCTGTGTAGATGCTCCCTATTTTGAAAAAAGCTATTTCAAAATAAGATACACAATTGAAGTAAGCTCAATTTGCATACCTTATTTTGAATAAGTCCTGTAGTGTAGACGCACTCTTAGAGACTAACAAAAAATATATATAGTATCATAAGCTTTCATGGGCAAAACCTACTTCTTTAGATGAGATGATCTTGAGTGGAGAAAAAAAAAGGGGGACCTTCAGAATAAGGAGGGAGAGGGAGGAAAATTGATTATATGTGTAACTGTCAGTTGTAGTCCCAGTGCTAATGAGGCTAATTGAGTGGGCTGGAAGCATCCCATACTTAGCTTTTGCTGTCAATAGGGTGTTGAATATAAAAAAGCAGATGTTATAGTATATTAACCAGTCCAAGTCTTTGTTCAAACCAAGGGAGACGGTGTCAAATTTGCATATGAAGATCAATCCTACACTTGCTCTCTCTGTAGTTAGCTTGTGAAATTACCTTTTTAGAAGAATGTCTGCTTTGAATATCTAATTTGTGTATATGGTATATTGGCCAAACTAGACAGTCTCTATGACAAAGGACTAATTGACACAAATCAAATATTTGGAATGGTAACGCACAGAAACCTGTAGGAGAACATTTTAACCCAGTGGTCTCCAACCTTTTGGGGCTGCCAGGTGCCATGGGGCGGGGCCACTCATGCACACACACGCCATGGGGCGGGGCTGCACACATGCCCAGGGGCGGGGCAACGCCTACGCTGCGTGCCCAGTGCCCGTGCCACCCACGCGCTGCACTCCCAGGGCCGGCGCCGCTCCTGTGCCGCACACCCAGAAGCCGGCATCACCTGCGCGCCTGGGGCCAGCGCCGCTCCTGAGCTGCATACCCAGGGGCAGGGCCACCCATATGCCGCGCGCCCGGGGCTGGCACAGCCCATGTACCGCGCACCCGGGGGCAGGGCTGCCCATACGCTGTGCGCCCAGGGGCCGGCACAGCCCATGCACCACTGGCCGCTTGGCCACAATCACTCAGCGGGTGCACAGAAATGGCCTGGCGGGTGCCATGGCGCCCGCGGGCACCGCAGTTTAACCTGTCTGGGCACTCATTAATGGACTTAAATGTCTGGAAAAAGAACTAAGGAAACTTATATTAAGGAGAAATATATGGTTATATGGGCCTAACTGTTGAAATATTAGTTGAATTTTAGTCACTCTTAGAATATTTGTTGCATTTATCATTAGGGCGGATGATTTAATTATTAAAAAGTGTTTCAAATCAGTAAACAGGAAACCAGCAATAACTGATTTTAAACTTGTGCCCCTGCCACAGCCATGAAAACAGAGTCCCTCCACTGGCTCCGCTGCGGCTGTTGGGTCCCAACAGAGTCCAGGTTCCGCTACCCCCACCCCAAGCTGGGGCTGCTGCAGCCCAGCCTGGCTGGCCACCAGCGAATTCACTGGCAAAGGCTCTGGGTTGGCAGTGCTGGCTTTGGAGAGGTGCTAGGGATGAGAGGTTTGGGGTACAGGAAGGCTCTAGGCTGGGGAAAAGTGATTTGAAGTTTGGAAAGAGGCTGTGGGTTCAGTTGCAGCAAAGGATGAGGGTTCTGGGTGGGGATGACGGGCTCAGGGTGGTGGGTGCTCTGGGTTGGGGCATGGGCTTACCTCTGGCAGCTCTGGTCAGCAGAGCAGCGAAACTTGCTTTTTTTCTCACTTGCTTTTTTTATTCATAGATTGGAAGAAAATTTTTTCTTTTCTATTGGTTTTCTACTTCTAGGCAGTTTCCCAACTTTGAGTTAGCTAGCCCAAATGAAGAAGGTATTGTATCTATATGTGCTAGCCAAGTGAAACCAAAAGCAATTAAAGGCAAAGCTTTTCTTCACAACAGAAACTGAAAGTACTAATATTTTGAAAGAAATGTAAACATTAGCATTTGCTCCATTTGTACGGACTGAAAATATTGTAGATAATGCAATGTGAGACCATGTGGCATGTTAATAAAGCATGAATTGAAAGTTAAAGATGTTCTCCATCAATTTTGTATATAGTTATAAACAGGGCTCGACAAATCGCTGTTTCTACTCGCCCATGGCGAGTAGATTTCAGCTAGTCGCCCTGTTCACCGGCGGCACGCGCATGCGCAATGTGGGTCTTCCACATGCACAGTGCAGGGCTGGCGAGTAGATTTTGCCTCTGTTTGTCAAGCCCTGGTTATAAAGCAGGCAACATTTAACTCAACATTTGAGATGGGTTGAGGGCTGAAGCAAAATAATTTAATTAAAAACAATATATTATAATTAATTTAGGCCTGAACATAGGTTGTCATCACTGCAAATCATTTGTAAACAGGTTTATTTTCAGAAGACAAAAATTAGCCTTAAATTTAATTGAAATACATTTCAGTCATCAATTTTAATTCATCCTATGTATCACTGATTTGTGGTAAAACTCCATTTATGAGGTGTAATTGCAAATGGAAAGCTGAAATGAAGAAAAGTCTGCTGAGCACACAGCAATTCAAAACTAATTTCAAAACAAAAAACCTTTCACCCTGTAAGCTGTTTAGGGGATAGAAGGGTCATCCTGCACAGAGCAGTTTGCAGAAGAATCTAGACCCGTGGTCACCAACTGGTCGATCGCGATCGACTGGTCGATTGCGAGGCCTTGACCAGTCGATCGCGAGGCATCCTGTCCGCCCCGTCCCCATTTCCCTCCCATCCCCAAGAAGCCCCACTACCTATCTCAAGTGAAAATGGAGGTAGTGTAGGCTTCCCGGGGATGGACAGAAGTCCCACAGCTTAGCACCACTTCTGGCGATTCCGGAAGTAGCGCTAGCTGCTCTGCTGGGTGTACTGCGGGAGGGAGCATCGGCTCCCTGCACCACACAGAAGGGGTGAGTCAGCCCTGGGGCAGGCGCCCCGCGGGGGCTTCCCTGCATGGGGGGGGGAGGGTCGGTCCCGGGGCAGGCGCGTGCTGGTTTCCCTCTGGGGGGGGGCCAGATGCAGGGGGCTCCCCAGCCATAGAACTCTGTCCCCACTCCCCTGTTCCCAGCTACAGAACTCTGTCCCTATTCCTGTCCCCACTGGCACCCTGTCCCCTGCTGCAGAACCCTGTCCTCTGCCCTCCCAGCACCCTGTTCCCTCTTCCCTGCACCCCGCCACAGAACTCTGCCCCCACAAAATGTATAATTATAAATGCTTCATTTTAGATTTAAATAGCATGAATAAAAAACAGACCATTTATTTCACAACTATAAACACGTGATTTTAATTTTATACATCGCATAATTTAAAAATAAACTTTATCAGAGTGTGTAAGTAAGGGCTGGGGATAGCAAGTGATGGACAGAGTTGGGATAGCAAGTGATGGACAGGAGGAGAATAGAGAGGGCAGGGCTTCAAGGAAGGGGTGGGACGGTAGATCTTTACCTGTTTGGAGAGTTAAAAAGTGATCTTGAGTGTAAAAAGGCTGGAAACCACTGATCTAGACCTACAGCACTATGAATGCTCATGTGCCTACATGTTCATAGGATCAAGGCCTGCAAACTCTCACTCACATAAATAGTCCCACTGACATCAGTGGGATCAAATGTTATATTTAAAAAGAGTGAACTAAAGAAACTCCAATTTGCATGGGTTTTTCTTTTTAATATGCACTTTATATTATTCAAAAGCTTTGCACACTCTATTCAACTTTTGTCTTTAAATTGCTCCTCGGTGCACGAATTTCAGCTGCAATTTTAAAGATATGAAAGATCTGTAACAAACAGTGAGTCACATAACTATTGTTATGGCTTGGTGCCACTACCATTTTGCAGACAAAATAAAAGGATCAGGACTTCTATAAAAAAAAATTTCTCCAATATATACAAAAAATTCCTACCTTGTGGCATTATCCACAATTAGCTGAGATTCAGCTCTATGATTAGTTCTTAGTTCCACAGACAAGCCTCTAGATTTTAGAGCCTCAAAAATATCAGCGAGCATATTGCCAGGGTCAATGCTGGGTAACTGTCTAATATCACCTAAAGAGAAGAAATATTAATAGTATTTCTGAACAGTGGGAACCAGTGAACAATATGTAGAAAATATTTCTAATACAGCAGTGAAAAGAAATACGTACTTCACTTCCATTACAATACAAGACAGAGCCATGGCATGCATACATCATATAAATTCTGTAATATTCTGTTTTTCTCTACTAATTCCAATATGGAATTTCTCTGAATGATGTTGCTGGATAGTTCCGATTGTTTTCCCTTCAGTATACCTGGGTGGTCGACAAATGCCTTTGATGTCAACACCCGCGCGTCCAGACTACAGCGCTGAGCCGACAAACATCTGATCAGCAGTTTGTCGGCTCAGCGCAGCAGCCATGTAAATTTAAATGAAGCGGCAATTATTTAAATCGCCGCTTCATTTTCCTATGCCTGGTAGCCTAATCTACATGCCTCTGTCGCCAGAGGCATGTAGTCTAGATGTACCCTTGGTCACCAGATTCTGATCAGCACTCCTCCTATCCATTATAACAATACATTAAATTTTTTAATGATGTTCTATATTGACAATTCAAAAAGCTATTATACTCAGTATCAGCCATACTGTTAACTCTTTTCTGTATGGTGAGCATTAACACTAATCAGTCTATGGAATTTATACATTTAAAAACAAATGCCATGATTAGAAGGGCAAAAACCATGATCTCCAAAAATAGATACAGGAGTACAAACCCCCTTAATTTCTTTTCATGCTTTTTTGTTCTATTTGTTAGACTGAGAACAAGTTACTTCAGATCTGACTGGTTGAACTACCTAAATCAAATATTTTACTTTTTTTCTATTCAGTTCATAGGCTATCAAAATTCTCTTTCAAACTGTTTTAAATAATTTAGGGGAAACTTCTTTACAGCAAGATGTACTATCAGCTTGTTGAAAAATCTGAAGGGTAGTGGTGACAACCTCATCATTTAATACTTTTAGAAGCAGACATAACACCAGAAGATATATAATAGTGACTAATCCTGCACTTGCAGGGAGGTAGATTGGATGATATGATCATTTCCCATCTCACTTATGATTTTATGGCAAAGGTAACAAAATCCATGGATCAGAACATACTTTTCAGGTGGCCCTAGAGATTATAGCTTGATGATCATACATAAATCATAATACCTCTACTGGATTTCTTTCAACTAATTATTGTGTAACCACCAATCTTAAGCACACAGCAAGCTCTCATATTCCATAACTCAGGAAATATGAAATCAAACGAAATTTATACCACTGCTTTTCACTTACCAAGAATAATGAGCTTGGCAAGCTGAGCATGGTCACACAGCAATTTTAAAACTGAACTGAGCTTTTGTACAGATACTAAGCTCCCTTCATCCACAACCAAAACTGTCACATTAGAAAACTTCCATGGTGTTGGTCCATCTCTTAACATCCATGAATAAAAACTGTAGATGACCTATAAAGCAATCAAAATAAATAATTTAGCTTCTGTTCAAGAAACAACTGAAGTTGTCATATTTAAATAACTTTCTTATAAGAAGTAAAGTGTGGGATGTTCCAAGCTGTGTTTACCACAGCCATCATCTGAGTTTCTGTCATGAAACTGAATCATTGAAGGCTCACAAGGGTCAATCCTACTCTCCAGTAACCAGGAAAACACCTCCAGAACACAATTTTTTTAGCAAAGCACAGTCAACTAGAACTACTTATGCAGAGGCATAGCTCCTCAAATATAGAATCTTAAGGCAGCTGGGTGTCTCCTGATTTCTAATTTTAAATTTCTAGATTTGAAAGTTAGAAGCTAGTGGAAGAGGGCATATGAAGTGGAAGATCTTCAGTTATGTAATTCACTTCTTGCACTGGTCCAATATAGCAAAGTCTGCTGCCCTTTTGGGCAAAACATCTATTTTCTTGGTAAGAAGAGTGGCTGGTAGATTATCAGTCTATTTGCTGGAAGCAAATTTTGTATGCTGCCTGATCTTTGTCAAGCCCAATTTTTTAAAATTTAAAAACCTACAATAAATATTAGACATGGAGAATCAATTTTTCTTAATATCCATGGGATTCTGGATTTTCAGTATATGAAACTGGTGAAAAAAGTGTCATTTTTATGCCTCTAGGAGACTGACTTGTAAAATTTTGAAAAAACAAGACTGACTCTTAAAGGTGTATAAAGTGTGATTAAACATTATGAACAGTCAAAAGAATATTAAGAGGTTCCAATAGTAATCTGATTATTGTACAAAGTAAGAAGATCTACACTAAAAGATCTTTGGAGAGAGAATGCACACAAATATTTTATACCTGATGGAGAGTATAGGCAGGAAGCTCAGTTTTCTCATTCAGGAGACTAGCTGCCTTTCCTGTAGGTGCAGTAAGTAAAACATTTAAAGGGTTTCTTGGGCAAATATCCTCTGGGCAAAAATGATGAGAAGTACTCCATTCAGAAGATGCATCCAGGTCCTTTTCAAAATCATTACAAGCCCTTACCACTTCTTTTTCCAACTGCTTTAAATACTGAAAAAGGCAACAAACTATAGTAGTCTTCCCACAACCCCCTTTTCCACTGATGATTGTCACTGGATTAGAACAAATCATTTCCATAGCTTTCAACTGATCTGGGTCCACTTCTGCTTCACTTGTAGTTTCTATATCTGATACTTTTTCATTATAAAGAAAATCACTGTCACCAATGTTTTGTATATCTGAGGAGTTTTGTATGTCTGGGTTTAACACTTGCTCTGTTTCATAAAGCTGGTTATTGTTTATGTTAATATCTCCATTTGCTTTTGATTTGTTAGCATATCTAACATTAAGTACTTCTCTTGCATTAACACATAACTGCCATGGGTCATTTGTCATTAGATGATTTACAGAAAGTGCAATGTTTTTTTCAGATTTGTAAAGGTGAGAAAGAAATACCAGTTTCTTCTCACCAATCACTATCATCTCATCTTTCAAAAATTTCAAGGACTCCCAGGCATGCTCAATGGGCATATCTTCAAAAACCAGAGAGTCCAAAATGTCTTGTTCTTCATAGGTGTGTCCCATTTCTCTACATTTTTGCTTGAGTTTATTGTATATTATTAATGCATTCTTCTGCAATTCAGGAATCTTCGAGAGGAGATGTTCACACTGACAGAAGGCTGTCCAAGTTGCCTCACAATTGGAAACGTTCAATTCTCTGTAGGTGATCTTCCCACCAAAACGGAAAAAAAAATAATTATTTCACAAGACATTGGTATGTAACTGCAGAACTAATGCTTTTGCCATTAAATACAAATTTAAAATACAGAAGGTATGAAGTACAGACAAAATGCACGTTTTAATAAATTCTAGCTATACAGGCAGTCCCCGGGTTACGTACAAGATAGGGACTGTAGGTTTGTTCTTAAGTTGAATCTGTATGTAAGTCGGAACTGGCGTCCAGATTCAGCCGCTGCTGAAACTGATCAGTCTAATGCTTTTGCCATTAAATACAAATTTAAAATACAGAAGGTATGAAGTACAGACAAAATGCACGTTTTAATAAATTCTAGCTATACAGGCAGTCCCCGGGTTACGTACAAGATAGGGACTGTAGGTTTGTTCTTAAGTTGAATCTGTATGTAAGTCGGAACTGGCGTCCAGATTCAGCCGCTGCTGAAACTGATCAGTTTCAACAGCGG